GCTTCGTTGGTCTATTGTACCTAACCTTGCAGCCCTCCCTCCCCTCTCTATCGTCATCCTTTCCACTTCTCTGTGCTGTATCTTTGCGGCCTCTCCCTTCATCACGCCTCCCTGATGCTCCGTTCTCCTGGCTGCCTCCCAAGCTGTCCTTTTACTTTGAGACTTCACTTCTCCTCCTCCCCCTCTCTGATGCTATAAATATCCAGGCGCGGGTGAGTCATCGCACAGACGTATCGGTTGCCTACCCTCCCTCTCCTGTCTTTTAGGCTCTGTCCAGCCTCATTACCAGACCTGACACGTTCCTCATTTTTGGCACGCAATGACCCGGCTAAGCTGTGTGAATGGCTCATGCTGCTGTTGCTGCTGCTGCTGTGAAGCCAAGAGCAGCCAGAGGGCAGTTAGACAGCTGACAAACACTCCCTGAAAACAAGTGTGTAAATCGGAAAACAATCCTAAATACAGATTTGGACTGTTTGTGGAGACTTCACTTGTTTAAATAACCAGAAAAGTCCTCTGAGTTTTCAGGTTATCATTTATCAGGGGAAGCTTCAGGACGTTCCTGTAAAAAGAGATTCTATCAAAATGTTTCACTGACAGACTTCTCCATCCATGCACACTTGTCCAGCTCATTCGGGGGAATCCCAAGGTGTTCCTATTTGTGTCCCTGCTGAGAGACAATCATCAGATCAACTTTTTGAAGCTATAGCAGAACTTCAGACTGAAAGACTGGTGTCCTCTGTTCCCATGTGTCCTGCAGTGCCTCATCGCCTCATGTACAGAATGTGCAGGCTCAAAGACTGAAAGAACATTATGACTATGATTATGATTGATTTGGCTCCAAACTAAGTGTGATACTTTTTGAAAATGAATTCACTGGAAAAAGTTTGATATCTTTGTTGTCTTTTTAATGTCAACTCCTAACCAAACAATGATAAGTCAGAGTACCTCGGAGCTTTTCATCTTTGCTTTTATGATCAAACATAATTACAATACTACATTACTGCTAGGCCTATGTGCCAATCAAAAACAAAACGGAATTGGCTACATCCTTCTAATACATTCTTTAAGTCTTTCAAGATTGAACTAGTTACCCCCATGAGGGACATGTGTGCTTTTGACCTATAAGCTTGCCACTGGGGAAACCTGAGGCTCTCCAGATTTTGTTGCTTATTTTGACTATATATATATATATAGATAATAACATAATTTAAATTTGAAAGTAACAGCTTGGCTTGAGAAAGTCCCAAGAGAAGGATGAGTCAGATTTGTGGCGCTTATCTTATGTTCCCGATTTAATGAATATGATCATAAACATACAATTCTTATATTTCAGTTAATACGTCTCTCATGTTGCTTCATAACAGAAATGAATCATGTTCTTTTTTGGTATAGAATTGCAGAATTATGTTATTTCTTTTTTATCTCACTGCCTGTGTTTGGATCCTCTACATCCTGAAGTGATCTTTCTCACTCTACCCACAAATCTCAGAACCTTCCTTATAATACTGGCATATAAAAGGCAGTACATTAAGTTCACCAGGAAATAAGCTGTGAGTGTCTCTGAGTCACAGATCCGTGGAGACAGAGTGGCTGACAGAAGAAGATGAAAGTCATCAAAGTGTCAAACAGAAAATGAACACACTCTTTGAGTCTCAAGTTATGTCTCTTACAACTCAGTGTAAGTACTCAAAATATGTTGTATAACATTTTTTTTATATATTCAAGTAGTTGATACATATCTGTAAAAGTAAACATTTTTCTGTTTGAAATGTGTTGGCAGCACAGTTTTCCGTTTCAATTCAATTTCTTGCCTTGAAAGACATTATTGCTATAAAATTTTTCAGAAATATTCCATTCATTGGCCTTTTACACATTTGATGAGCAGTGACTTCTTTACTGTTTTATTGGCACCATGCCTTTTTGGATCCTTTCATTAGTGCTTGTTTGTTTCAAACCGTGTAAAACCAAACAATATTGACATTTGCGATGTCAATGGTTCCCAACTGTATTGGCCTCAAGAATCTATGTTGGATCATAGGAAAATATGTTTACATACTCAATTCAATTGTCAATTCTTACTTTTACTGATTTCCTCTTAAGGTTGCCCAAAATTCTTAGTAATACATCACAATAACTGCAAAGAATGTCTTTTTTTTTTCAATTTAGAATTTCACCTTTGTCAAGATTCTTATTCACAAATACTTTTAAAATCCGCAAATAAGAATATATATATAATTTCTTATTTTATCAGTGCATACTGAGCATCTACAAGTATGACAAATTAGATCACTTCCATCAGTGTCAGAGGCACCCCTGATTGGGAAACAAATGCTTGGTTCACTATAGTATACAGTAGTCATGTATTTTCATGTGTTTTTTTCAAGCTTAAACACAGAATAATGTGCATGTTGCCTATGGTGCTGTAGTGGGGCGTGTTTGCGTCAGCCCGTGGGTTAATGAGCTGAACATTATTCCTCTGACTCACTGTGCTTTGATAGATGAATGAGATGCAGAGAGGCTCGTGTCTATGTCCTGCTGTCTTTTACTGACAACACACAACAAACAGGATGTGATTCTGCAACATGCTTAGTGTAAGCAACCGATTTGTTGTTTCCAAATACGAGTGATAAATTCATCGTTTCTTTGTGCATATATAGGGTTAGATAAATGTACTGGATGAATGCTTTTTTTTTTTTGACATTATTGATTCTGCGTAATCAGTTTGAAAATGTGATTTTTGGTAGTGGAAATGGCAAGATTTCACAAGTTTGTAATTTGAACATCACTGACTGAGCTACCGAGGCAATATCTTTTGTTTACCTCCTTTTATTGAAGCTTGATTCCCAGAAGCACATGTTTGCACTCGGACACACCATAGCACGATGAGGACTGGCCTTGGTTGCCATAGAAACCCTGGTGTGGAGGATGATTCTAATCAAGATGCTATCAGTCACTCAACACATGAGAGATGAGATCAAAACAATGAGATACTTACGAGACAATTTTATTACATAATTTCTCAAGGCCAAATCACAAATAAATTAAGGAAAAAGACACTTTCAAGGAGCCCAGCTTTAAGGGCAATTTAACCACGCAAAAAAACTGGTCAGTAATAAAGATCGTTAAATATTGGGAGGACAGCATGTACATGTACGTCATAGACTGCCTCCTATGTATTTACAAGTGGAAATATCAACAGCAGTGGTTTGCATACTCACCACCAGCCAAATGGATGCTGTCAGTGTAGGCTAATCGACACACAACAGAAATAAAGGTTTTGGAGGAGCACTTCACATTCTTAAAACCCTGCAGACAGCTCATGTGTGTAAGAAAGGCAACTAGCGCCTCTAGCCAGGCAGAGGGAGAGCAGCGAACAGCACAGTAAGCTATTGACTTTTTCAGTATGTGTTGTTTAAAAAATACGTTACAAAAAATGGGCCCTAAAGTCAAAAAGATGACTGCTGCAGGCATCTGATCAGTGTAACCTTACCTGCTTGTACCATCATCAATCATACATGTGCAAGCAAACGAAATGTAGCAATGTGTAGAGGCACATTTTGCATGTTTTTGCCCTACAATTGTGAAGAACTAGAACAGGAGTGCATCGATACCTGCAGTCAAATGTTAGTAACTTAGGATTAAATATATCATGAACATTATAAACTAACCCCTTTTATATATACACACATACGAGTACAACACACAATCGGGATATAGACATATATTCATATCTCATTGACGAGCTTTTGTTAATGTCTTCAGTTGGGTAACCGGAGTGCTGTAAAACTCAAATTTCAAGTAAATCATCAAGCACTTTGGTATTTGCACACATTTCATCATGCAGTATCTATATAGCCAAATAAGTGTCTTTTTGAGCGATTAGCTACATCTATACTTCTTTCCAATCAGTGTCTCTACCGTTCCTACGTGAACTCTGGATGTTATACTGTAGATCACAAACCCTTGACTGAAAAGGCCCAAAAACATTTATTCACTTCAGGGAGGGGAAACTTCCTTCCTAAATACTTTAAAATATGTGTTTAAATATTGCACATTCATTTCATATGTCATCATTGTAGGTAGAAAAGTTAAAAGAATACTAGTTCTAAAGGAGGCAAACTTGAGAACACAAAAGAGGATAGCATAAAATGCTATTGAAGAGTGCTGAATTTATACACGTATTTATATATGTAACTATGCTACAGGCTAGGTTCCAATAGGTTCCCTTGATGTCCGAATGCATTGGTCAAGACTTGGAGTGTGATTAGCGGCAAATGTGGTTGGGCCATATCAGTAAACGAAGCCTAGACAAAAAATAAAAATCTCATTTGAAAAAAAAAAAAAATAAACACATGCCAAAACAATCACGGCCAAAGAAAAAAATTCTTTGGGACAAAAAACCCCCACGAACAAATAAAGCATGTAAAAATAATTGATACGCGAGCATTATAAAAACAAATACAAAATATAAACAGTATGAAAAAGCTTTCAAGAACATTCTTAAAACCGATTCCTAACAAAATGTAACAACAGATAAAGAATGAATCCCTGCATATGTTCCAAGCATCTTTCCCAATCCAATACCTGCACTCAGACTCCAACACAAAAGGGACATGTTAGAAAGCTACGGACAGGACGTGAGGACATTGATCCACAGAGCCTGACATTTAGTTTCTCTTCAAGTCACCCGGACTTTATGTTCCGCCGCGGTTGTCATAGCGACTAAGGGCTAAATCAGTCCAAAAAGAGGAAAATGGTGTTTGTGGCGAGCCATAGCTGTATGATTTAGTTATGGGACCGCCTTTTGGTCATGTCATAGAGGATGGATTCTATTTAATTTCCCCTCCTTGAAAGGAGGTGGTTAGGGAAAGCCAAGGAGGAGTTTTGACATGTGTTTAATGTGTGCATGTCTAAATAACGATAATGTCTTCATCCAGAAATCTAGACTCCTCATCAATGTGTGCAAATATATATTATATCTTCCAAGTGTTATTTCCCACCATACATTCTCTCTATGTCTTCTTGGTAGTGCGATTTGAGCTCCTTGCGTTTGAGTTTGAATGCATCAGTAACTAATCCAGTCTCTGGTGTCCAAGGCTCAGAGCTCAGACGGATCTTCTTGGGGATCTCGAACCGCTCGAGTTTTCCTGCATTCAACAAAAAATATATTGTACTTTCGCTTTTCTAAAACCATACACCACCGTAAAATGTGAACACAGGTGACCATTCCCAATGCATTTCTGCGTTTCGGAATGAAGTACTGCACACCAACATAGAGGAAAAACAAATACTGGGCCTGGGTTTTCAAACAAACAAAGGCTTTATAATAAAATTACACTTCTAAAATGGAGACTGACCATTGTCTATTAGTATTAAGTTAACCTTTTTCTTTTAAATTTAAGGTTTTCAGCTTTCAAAAAGATCTTTAAAATAATATTCTTACCAGAGATGGCTGCGTCCGTGATGACACGGAGGACCTCTTTTTCCATCTGGACATTGTTGCACAGCTCTTCCCATGTGCCCTTCACTTGTTTCTGCTCTGCCAGTGTCATTAGCTGCTTCTGATTAGGCACCACAAAGCTGATCACATAGGACTCCTCACTGTCAATAAAATCACAATAATTAATTAATCTGTTTATTGTTTAAAAAAATAAAGGTTTTTAAAACAGCACCTGTTTGCATATGCACAGATATTGTCGATGAGAGAACAGTTCTTTAGAACAGCTTCTACTTTCCCAAGAGACACATATTCACCAGCCTGTAGTTTCACCAGGTCTTTCTTGCGATCTACGAGAAAAATATTTGTTTACAGCATCTGGTACAATCTTTTTCTTAAAAAAAGGTTTTAAACTAACCTACCAATAATTTTGAGGCATCCATCAGAATGAAACTCTCCAATGTCTCCAGTGCAGAACCATCGCTGACCTTTCTCATCCACATAGAAGTCATCTTGGTTCTTGCTGGCATTTTTATAATAACCCATTGTAACATTGGGGCCACCAATTAAAATTTCCCCTCGTGGGTTTGGCTTGTCTGTGCTGTAGTAGCCTCCTAGAAGAGAATAGAGAAATCATTAAATATTCAAACTAAGACTTTGCAATCAATCTGTAACTTTTGCACAAGTGTAGCTTACCTTCTTGCCAGTCTTTTAGTTGGATCTCAGAACAGACAAGTGGTGCACCAACACGACCTGTGCTGTAGTCCCAAGCTGAAAAGAACACATATCATATCAATCATGTTTTATTCAAAGTTAAATTACTTTTATTCTCGCATTTCCTCAGGTGCCTGAATGTGGCAGAGCTTTGGAACTACATCACGTTTAGCAGTTTTCTATGCAAAATGCACACAAGAAGTGTGTGCATTTTGGAGTCAGTCAGTAGATTTACATCAACAGTCAGCAAATGGATAAACAATAAAACAAATGCATTGATCCATCTCTTGAGAATGTACCAGTATACCTGTTATTTATTTTTAAAATATTCAATAGAGCTATCTTTGTATGGTAGGTTGATAATCGAATCTAAAAGTGAAGTATAGTTTGAAAAAGGAATAAATTGTATTAATTGGCTTCAAATTCAAACTAACTAAAATGTATTGTTTGCACGATGCCCAGGTCAATGCACTGGTCCTTTCTTACGCAAAGTGCCTCTGGCATGCCAGTGATGCATGGTAAACAAGGTTGGTTTGACATCGCACACAATCCTAGCACTCTCACACTGCACCAGACTTAAGCAGTGTGGATCAGAATCTGACTCATGTTCAAAATGGCCCCTCATGCATCATTCTTTGATCAACAGCTCTCATGTCAATCTAACTAGTGATAGTGTGAAAAATAGCATGATTTCCCCAGAGGAAAGCTCTACAACAGAAAGGTTTACATAATGAGCCTACCCTCGCTGATGGTGCCAGCACCACAGGTCTCAGTTAGGCCATAACCCTGGCCCACGGGGCAGCAGAGACAGATGTTCATGAAACGCTGTGTAGCTGCAGAGAGAGGAGCTCCTCCAGAAAGCAAGAGACGTGTGTGTCCCCCCAGCAATGCACGAACACGCTTAAAAACCAGTCTAGTGTGAGAAAGAGATAGGTAATAATACACAACTTACACAGATGTATCAAAAGGTGAAAAAGCTTATTAGACTATGTACTTGTCACAAAGAGGTGTGCTGTAGCCCTTTGAAAGCTGTTCCATTTTATAGTTGTATGCCAGAACGAAAAGTGTCTTCTGGAACTTGCTCATCTCTTCCACTTTGGTCATGACATTCTTGTAAATCCGATCCATAATTTCCTATGACCATAAGGATTTGTTTTACAAAATAAAGTAAAATAAGTAAAAGTAAGTAATACATATTAAAATAGCCTTTACCGGCACGGCAGCCATCAGTGTAGGTTTGAGCACACCCGTGTCTCCTTTACTACCCTTCTTTATCTTAGTAGACTTTTAAAAAAAAATAGATAAAGTAGTATATTAAGTATTATTAAAGCTTAGAATTAAAAAAATGTGTAGATTATTACCTGGTCAGCCAGAGTCTGGGGTGAAGAATAGCCAATGCGACAGCCATGGGAGATGCAGACTAATTCAGCACTGAGCTCCAACACGTGGGCTAACGGCAGGTAGCCAATGTATGTGTCCGTTTCACTGGAAAGATAGTGATGCGTTTTGAGTCGCATTATGCAAGACATTTACACAGGAACCAGACAATGGAATTAAGAGTGAAATATGAGAAATACAAAGAGCTTAAGGAAATGGACATACTTGAGGTTAGGCACCCGCTCAGCCATGCCGGTGATGCAGGCGATGATGTTGCCATGGGAGATCATGACACCCTTGGGGATGCCTGTTGATCCGCTGGTGTACATGATGACTGCGATGTCTGAGGGCACTGGCATTCTGCGGTCAACTGAAACTGCAAAATTGAGAGAGGAAATGGAGCAAAGAGCTCATTACTGTCATTAAGCTACAGCAGGACAAAAAGTGTCATGTCATAGTTGTAAATAATGCACACAGTGTAACTGGCTTTGAATCAACTTTCGATTCAAAACTGTCAAATGAAATCAATGTATTTTTATAGAAAAGAACCACTGAGAATGAAGGCTTACATTGTTATTATGCCAAACTCCTGTACATTTTGTCATACTTCTATAATTGTATTATTTTATCCACACAATCCTCCTAACATTGAATGTAATATCAACCCATTTTGGACTTATGTCTTTTATTTCTTATTTATAATGACACGAGTTGCATCTAAAGAGGAGGACTGGATGATAACTACTATCTACTGTTTTTTTCAGTTAATTATCTAAATGCATTTAACACAGCCATGTGTGCAGTATAAATGCCCAGAGGAACTACAGCTTTTTTGGCCTTACTTGTCAGGTCGCGCCTAAAATCCCTTCAATCAAACATTAGGGTGTGGGCTCCGTTAGGCTCCATCAGTGCACTTCCGTTTAGCTGACCAAATTAGAAACCTTTTTAATACGCCTGTCTGAATACTCACAGTTGTCAGGCCTAGATCCCAGGTCCCTGACGGTGTCCATGTTCTTCACCATTATGCCTCTGGGGAGATCGGGCCAGCTCGTGGGCTTGCTGTCAACTACAATAATGTACTGCAGCCTCGGCACTTCACACAGTATCGCCTAAGCAAGTGGGTGAATGAAGTGAGAAAACAGTAATGAGCTACAAGGCCATTAAAATAGAAGTAACTTAGCAACATGCTCAGCTATAGGAGCGGAAATGTGTGTGGAACAAATGACAACCTTAAGACGACTCTGCAGTAGGTCTTTGCTTGTGATGATATGGGTGACCTCAGTTTCGTTCAACCCATGTGCAATAGCGGTCGGTCCAAGCGTAGAATACAGAGTCACCACTATAAAAACAACATTTAATGTCAGTAAATGAATCATTTATTATCTATATTGTTAAATACATTAGGTAAGCAGTTACTTACAAGGAAAATTGTACATGAAACAAGCTTGAGCAGTGAGAAGCCACTCCGCTCTAGTCTCACAGAAGATAGCAATGTTGCACTGAGGCCTCTGCCCGAGAGCTGCCAGGCCACTGCCAAAACTCAGCGCTGCGTGGTAAGCTTCGTCATAGCTCAGCCAATTGTAGTTACCTAAAATGACCTATAATAGCACGCAAAGACAATTTGATTGAAGTTGTACAAGAAACATGTTGAATTGTTCAAAATATGCAACTTTAAAAGAGTTGAATTTAACAGGATGTTTAAATCAAACAGGATGGTGGTTCCTTAAATGTATGACTATAGTACCCTCTGCAGGATGTTTCTAGTTTTGCAAGTGTGGGAGACTTGCTACATTTTTTACAATTCCTTCACAATCTCATGTCTCAATATAGAGAGCAATAGGAAAATAATCACCATGTCTATATTTTTCATTGCTATAGTCTAATTCCAAAATGCGTCAAATTGTATATAAAAAAAAAAGGCTTTGCTTTAACGGAAGACTGAAGTTACTCCTCAGTAAAAGATACTGGACACCCTGCTTGAATAACACTAATAATTAATTGATTGATTAATTAATATAAAAAAATTGTAAGTAAAGGAACACAATCCTGAGAAAATAGACCATGCACAACTATGCACTACCATGTAAAACAACAGGGATCAGCAACAGATGGTATATCTGCTTTGATGTAAATGACCCTTAGAACATACAAAACAGGATTCCTAACCCTAACCCATGGCCAAGCATCACATTTGTAGGAAACTAGGCACTGATTCTGTAAGAGTAATGCTGACGCTCTGTCAGAGTGACCGTCGGGTTCTTGGGCACCTCCCAAAGACCCATCTCCATGGATTGCTCAGTTTGAACGGACTACCAGCTCTGGGAAGAGTCCAAGTGGTATTCACTTCACAATATAATAATGTAAACAGATCGGCGGAAAAAAAATGAGAATGTATATCTTGTGTGCCATCTACTGTCCTGTATGTGCGCTGCAAAACTGACGGTGTTTAGGTTTGAATAGGCTTGAATAGGCCATATTTAGGCTTGAATACTCATTTATGAATCCACTGTAGGTGGACCATTGAAGTTGACGTCAACACCTAGTGTCTAGTAATTTAGGTATACATTTGCCCTCAGCAGCACATACGTTGGGTACTGGATGGCTGAACATGTGTGCCCATGCTTGAGTTCCAACTGAATGTTCTACTCATACTTTCCTCTTTCCTGAGGCCGAATAGATTAAAATGTATTGTTACAACTTCAGCCCTGTCTAATGAAAGCCAAAAGGTCATAAATCACACTTTGTATTACACAGTAACAACTTGAATGTGTATAATATTTTTGAATCAATTTTTATGATTCAAAAACAGAATGTAGATTTTGATTTTATTTGTGCCCCCAGACCACTGTGCATAGGAAAGGACATTGCTGACCCACTAGCTTTAGGAAGCCTTGGTATGTGCTTAAAAATATGATAAGTATATTTTTGTGAAACGTGTGTGTGTATTTATCATGTACAATGCAATAAATTAGAATAAAATAAGAATTTTGTGGTTTCCTCACCTTTTTGAAAACCTTGCCATTGGGTTGCACCTCATCCTCCTCACTCAGTACTTCCCTTGTTCCCAGACAGTGTCTTTGGGGAAACCTTTTAGCAGCATATTCAAACATTTTGTCCAGAGTGTCCACCCCTGGATCAAGCCATGCCACCAGTTTGCCTTGGCAATTTACAGCCCTGTATGGACCAGCAGGATGCCCAGAGATAGACCTGGCCTTTGTCCGTCGAGCTCTCTCACAGTTATTGCTTGCCCCGGAGAAGAAATACCAGGGAATGAAGGTGATGACTGAGTACACCCACACTACTGATCGGAACACCTGCAGTAGTAGTGGATTTATGTCCTCTTTGAGCTTCATCTTTTGAAAGATGACCAGGACTTCTGATTAATGATGAAAACTGGAAGATTGCACAGATCTATAAAAATGAAAAAAAAAAAAGTACATTAGAAAAATTTTCTGCATCAATCTTTGCTATATCACATAGCAACAAAGCCCTGTAAATTAGCCTATGGTAAGGCAATCCCTACCCACCCCAGCCTTTCTATTCATAGCATCATTCTGTTTTTTTTTTTTCACTCACAGGTTCTGCAGCTCCTATGCTAGACAATCATATGTAAAGTGGGATGCTACATCACTTGAATCAATTTTGTTTATTTACTTAAGTGAAGTGTCCTAGAATTATACTGGGTAGCTTTTTTCTTTGGTACATTTCACATCAAAACAGGGGACTTCTCTGTGTTCTAAATGTGTTAGTCCCTCAGGCCATATTTTTTGTGTGAAACTGTATACAAAACTCCCCCACTTGGCTATTTACAGTAGTAAAAAAAAAAAAAAGTATTTAAATCTCGCCTAGAAGCTTGTGATGCAAGTCTGGAGGTCAGATGAACAGTGACCTTTGCCTGATCAAGTAACATTTCAGTTACAGATAGTTAGGATGGCCTCCATACATGAAACAAGAGACAGTATCCTCATGAAACATTAGGCGGTATACTCTTGCTCCATGGTACAGCACAAATGTTATTTATGGCCTTCAATGAAAAATGTTTAAACAATTATCAAGTTCACAGAAACAACACTAAAAAGCTTGCCAAAACACTGTCCAATAATTTTAAAAAAACGTGATACTGTAACAATACATTACTTTCTTATACCCCCTTGTACATATACCTATACCTCTTCACACCTACACACCAATGTATGTGGGTGTGAAGATAAACTGCTAGCTATTCACATAGGTTTGTGACATAACAAATCCTGTAAAATGACAAATGAAATTACATTTTGTAGGTAGTTCTAGCAGCTGAAATTTCTCTTAATCTAACACATTGTATATCAATTGCACATCACCGTTTTCATTCTGATATAAAATAACCTTTGGATCAGAAACAGACATTTATATTATAGATCAATAACAGTCGTTTATATTTTCGATGGCCCTTTATCAGTGGCCACTCATTAAACAGTAACACACAACAGCATTGTTAAAGAGAAATAAATTGATTATTTAACTAATTGTGACGTACAACGTGCATGTTGTATATCTTTAGGAGCGTTAATGGTAATATATGACTGCATGGATTTTATTTACGCCTGCACCCGGAGCGAATAAAAGCGGATAGCGGAAAGCTTGCTAGGATTGCTAGCTCTTAGCGGCTAGACTTTAGCTGTCTGGGTTAGCCACTGCAGCTGTTTCACAAGATAGCACATGGATACATCTACAATGCTACAGCAGTGTCGACTAAATACTCATTAGATCTAGCACGATTAAAGCAGAATTGCGTCTCCCTGCCGTAGCGAGAGCTTTGATGCAACACATGCGTTTGTAGCAGTACTTTTGTTGAACAGCAACATCTGCAAAGCGTCCACAGCCGTTCAGTCTCACCTCGTTTTCTCTGCTAACGACACACCTGAATCAGAAACGGATGGATCAGCGCTTATCGCTACAATGATAGAGCTGGCATTATTATAAGTCACTATATAGTGTATAACTAAAAACAGAGGTATTAAAAAAGAATATAACGTAAATAAGTTAGATGAAAATAGTGACTCTGAGCATCACCGGGCCAGTGTCTCCAGCCCGGAAGCCATTATAGGACGTATGAAGCGTTCTGCTCTCTGATTGGCTGAGTCCCGGTGGCGCGTGCTAGTGGAAGCAGGGACGTCAGCGGGGTTACCCTCGGTCATCTTGCAGCATCATGCTGTCAGGCCAGCTGCAGCAGCCTCAACTGTGGGCTCACTTCTGAAATAAACTCATGCTGCAATCATCAATAACTTCTCCTCCGATCTCTGACCGCATGGTCTCCTGCGGATGACCCGAGCCACCACACACAGGGGAGCAAGCGTTTAGGACTGATAAAACGCACATCTGGAGCAGTCTTCCCGAAAATATGAGACTATTGTCTCACACGCTTTCATGATTTCCAAAATTTGGTCAAAAGCACTTGAGTTTAGCTGCGATAACTACTGGGAGATCTTATCTGCACTCCTATTGTAAGAATACACTTCAATTCAATTCACTTTATTCTTGTATAGCCCTAGTTGTCATCTCAGAAAACTTAACAGCATTGAAATTGCCAACACAATGAAAGAATCAACAGTTAAGACACACAAAATAAATAACTCATATGTATTAAGATAAGATAAGATAAGATGAGATAGACTTTATCGATCTCACACCGGAGAGGTTTATGTCACACATGGCATAGTCACTCAAATTGTGCAAAAGACAGAGGTGTGCAAACATGTTAAAGGTTAAAATATGGTCTGTGCAGGATTTATTATGTACAACAAAAAGTGGCAATTAAAGAAAGAGTGGCAGTCCTAGTGCATTGGTGACTTATACCACGGTCACATAGCACCTAAAGCCCGGATCTAATCGCGAAGTGGGCCCAGGCACACTTTAACCGGGCTTTAGGCTGTGCATGTGACCGCAGCCTAAGCTACCGTGGACCAGCAAAAAAAAAAAAAAAAAAAAACTATTGATTTTGAATCCTGTAGTAGTTCTCTTCTATTATAAAATGGTATTAAAACTTTATTTCTAAATCGATACAAACCCTGCATGAGGTCTTTAAGTCAATGAAAATGAACCAATCGGTGTCAAGTCTCCTTCCTTGGGGCCAGCCTGCGTAGTGTCTGAGCCTGCATCATGGATCTATTATAATAACTGGATAGGGTTTTACCATGGATCTATTATAATATCTGGATAATGTATTACTAGCTTGGAGCTGAAGAACCCATGTGCTCGGGGGATTCTTGCGGTACTGCAGACTAAATTCACGTGGGATACTCAGAAATGTTCCCCATAGAACTCAATGTAAACTAAAACAGCTCGACATCAGCTGACAAAGAACTTGCAGGGTTCATAAAGGTCGTTTTTATGGGAATTTTAGTGTCCCTTGTCAACCTGAACTTTTTTTCTTCTTAAATCCTTCCGTTTTCTTTAACTCCACACTTTACTGCTACAAACTCTTCTCATTTGGCTCCCACTCTTACTCCGGTCTAGCTACGGTCTGATCAGTAGCTCTGATTGGTCGAAGCGAGGACGAGCCCCTCTGTGCACATTTATCAGAGCCACATAGCATATTTAGCGCAAAGCATCATGGGAGCTCGTCCTCTGCACATTTAATTTTAAGAAAGGAAAAGGATCATGATCGGTTCTTGAAAAATTAACATTGTTTAAGACATTGCCGGAACAATAATCCTTTTTTCATAATTAATTTATAGTATTTTCAATGAGGAGTTCCAAAATCGCCATGGTAACTGAACCTGCCGCATTCCAGATCCAAAGGAATGATCCATCGTCACGGCAACATGACATAAAGGTCTTTGTGACATAATCAAAGCTCCAAAGTCCCCAGTGCAAGTGTCTGTGTGTGGACAGAGCCCCAAACAGGACCCATATTTCTGACTTCGGGAGGAAACGGACCAAATTAAACCGCGAGAAACACAACGGAGCAAAATGTTGTGCTTTAGAAGAAAATCAAAGAAGGGCAAGCTGATAGAAGAGCTTGAATCCCACCTCATGATGTTGGAGGGACAACACCAGCGTCTGAAAGGACAACACCAGCGTCTGGAGGAGGATGTGAAGAGAGAGAAGCAAAAGTGGAGCAAGCTGGAGAAGACTCATCAGGAAGAGAGTCGCCAAAAGCAGCAGCAGGTGATCGAGCTCCAGACAGAGAGGTCTGCCTTAGAGACGGCTCTACTGCAGGCTTCAGAAAGAGCCACTTCTGCCCAACGCCAACTGGATGATACTGTCCAGGAGAAAACAGATCTCCAAGAGGCTCTGAGTGATACCACAGGGAAACTGCAGAAGGCTCACGAGGAGATTCAGGCCTTGAAAGACGCAAATGCGGAAGACACCATCCGGTATATGTCGATCGTCACCAAACACCAAGACGAGAAAAAGGCGATGTTCGACAGAAACCAGGAGGCAATGGACCTGTTGAACGCTCAGATACAGGATGCAAAAAGCTACATAGACAAGCTGAAGACCCAGATGGAGGAGCAAGAAACAAAACTGGGGACAGAAGCTTCTCAGTTAAAGGCAACATTGGCCAAGACCCAGAAAGAGTTGGACGAGTATAGTGCAAATGTCCTCATGAAAAACTCGGTTATTGCTGAGATGGAGGCGGCAAAGAAGACCTCAGATGACACCATCCAAGATCTGAGGAAGCAGCTTGAGCTGAAAAATAAAATGATCAGCACTCTGACAGAAGACAAAGAGAAGGAGAAACAGCAGCTGTCCAAGACCAAGAAAGAGTTAGAGCAGCGTAGTGCAAAGGTCCAAATGAAAAACTCTGTTTTTGCTGCAATGGAGGCAGAAAACACTAAAGTCAAAGCAGAGAATAGAGAGCTTAAGACTAACATTCCGAATCAGGAAAGTCAGCTGAGAGATGTACATGCTGCATCAGAGAAAAGACTTCTTGCGGCCCAGAATAAGTACATGGATGATGTCCAGGCTCTGACCGTGGTGTGTGAGGAGGCTCTGAAGAAGGTCAAGAGGACCTCAGAACACACCATCCAAGAGCTGAAGAAGCAGCTTGAGCAGAAAGACAAAGCAATCCACAATCTGACAGAAAACAACGAGAAGGAGAAGCAGCAGCTGGCCAAGATAC